GAGCCCCTAAAATGAACCGAAAGGCACGTGATTCCGTCACCTCTCAGCTGAGCAGGCACCGGGGCCCCGAGCTGCCGGGCTGAAGAGTGATGCTCCATTTCTCTTTACAGGAACTAGACATTAGGTGTGTTTTTGCAGGGGGCATCACAACAGCCACCGCTCCTCCTGCTCCAGAAGCACAACACCCTTCTGTCTATCCCCCCTAGAATAAAAGTAGCTGGTTTACAGGAGTAAGAACTGACCAAACCCATCTGCCTCGCTGCTCAGTTTTGGTACCATGCTGGGGTTTTCCCCATATACTTGCATTTTTCCCCCAAACTTCAACCAAGCAAACCCTAACTCAGACGTATTCGTTTCCAAAAGGCTCTTGGAGGCAAAGGCTTCTCCTTGTACCAGCCACCACATTAGACATCTGGACATTAGTCGACCGTAATTGATTAGAGTTTGTGATTTAATTTAAAAGCATTCTACAGAAGATATTAATCTCCAGGCTCTGAAGGGAAGAGAGATGCGTTGGGGAGAAAAATAGATTTAATTCCCTGGACAACTGTACTAAAAGGTACCCTTGAATTCCCAGTAGCTTTGTCATAAACCACATCCAGAAGTGACAAATAAGGAAGAAGCGGGATAATGCGGCAGCACTGGCCCTGGCTAATGCTTGTACAGCAGTGACCTGAAGTCCTTCATCCAGCCTGGCCTCTGGCAGGAGCCTGGCTCCCTCTCCTCGCCTCTGCCGGGGCTCTCCCAGCGGTACAGGATGCACAAGCTCCTGCAGATGTGCAGCTGCAAGTGGCATGAACTTGATTCCTTTGTGCGAGTCCGAGCTGCCCAAGCAATGAGCGGTGTCTCCAGCCAGGTCCAGCTCCACGCAGGGAGCACCATGTGCTGCTGCTCAGCAGAGAGGAGGCTGGTTCCGCAGTGACAAACACTGCGTGGTCCCCCCCTGCCTCCCGCTTTGCCCACCACCGAAAGCAGAAGGAAGAGAGGAAGAAGCCAAGGGCAGGTCAGTCCTGACACTCAGCCCCACGGTGGGCAACCCTGCAGTGCACTTGACTCCAGAGGCTACCAGGGGGACGTCTCGTTCCAGATGAGGCTTGGCTTAAAGGTTAACCAACTGCCCCGTTCCAGCTGGGAGAAAAGCACAACAATTCTCCTGGCTTTGTTTGTCCATGGTTTGGAATTCTCCAGGGCAGAGGAAGAGCCCAGCTCCCTGCCCCGTTTAACAGCTTCCAAACCTCGGGGGTTAGCCTATGGACTCCTTCCTTGCCTGAGCTACACTAACTCTATCCCATTAAATTCTACTGGCTAAGGGCTTGCTTTCTGAGGAGTGAATAAACCATCATCTGCCCATCTGGAGCGAGCTGCTCGCAGTTAGTAAACTGGGAAGACAAGTTCCAAAAGAGCTACACACCGACACCGTGAGGGGCACGTTATCAGCAGGGCTCTCTGGTTTAACTTGCCAAGAAGAGAGTTATGTAGAGCGTTACCTGCACTGCAATCCAACTGGCGTTAACAGCGTGCTCTCCAAATGGACCAAACCCTGCAAGAGAAGCAAAAATCCACAGTGGTGAAGTCATCCCGACAGGTTTGAGCAAACTGGAAGGTGACAAATGGTCTGTGCTTTCCTGGTACATAGAGCCTGAAAGAAACCCCCACTTCTAAGGCCCAATCCTTATTTACATCCGAGTACTAACTAAGAGACCTCCACAGAAGTGTTTGAACTACACACCTTGTACTGTGAGCTTGCCTCAAAAGAAACTCCTTTTTCCCCAGCAGACACTGGGCCAAGTGGATTTCCTCCTTCCTAACCATCTTGGAAGAACTTGTTCCGAACAGAGAAGTTGCCCGATGCCATGGAATTAGAATCCTGATTGGATTCTCTGCTCCTGATTGGTTTAGGCCACAGCAGATGCTTCCACAAATGGAGACAAGCCTGTTTCAAACAGTTATTCTCTGCTCAGGTCTTCACCGAGATCTCTGCCAACATTAGTTGTGCCTTAGGAGGAAATAAGAGCTCTGGACAACTCCCCTCCAGCAAGCACTAAAGGTTATGATAACGTTATCAGAAACACTTACTCACCACATCTTGACTTCCTAATGAGTAACTGGGAGTTAAGTGGTAACCCCCAACATCTCCTCCCGAGCAAGCACACAAAGCTTGGGCAATTCATCTGGGCACGACGTCGATACGCTTTAATCTGAGCTGTCAGAGCTTCCCCGAGAGCCTCATGCCATTAAGAGACATAAATTGTGCCTAACTCCTGAAAGGGTTTGAGGGGGACCACAAATATTATCTGACACATTAATGGAAACGTTCTATTTGCTCTCGATGGCACGGCTGAGGTTCTGCTGCCACGGGATGTAAGGGGTCTGTCTGCACAGGGTGGGCTCGTCCACGCTGCTGGGTCTCTTACAACCAAACCAGTGTCAATACCCGCCCAAAAGGAATCTGCTGCAGGTTTCCACAAGATCAAAACGTTGCTGTTTTCCTGTGAGCAAACCTCCAACGTTTCTAAGACAACCTACGACTGCAGCAGAGGTGAACAAGTCCAAGCACTGAACCCCTTCTCAGTTGTTCCTGCAAGTCAGGGATGTCCAGACGCAACCAGGACCTGCAAGGGCTCCTTCTTAAGGAAACCACGACAGCCTGAACCAAACGGAATCAGAACACATCCAACAATTCAGCCACGGGAAGGCTGGGATCCTACAGGTGCCCACACACAGAACGCAACCCTCTCGCACCGGAGCCCAAAGTGAACTGGCACAAAGACAACTGGGGGCTCCCCTGACTCATTCCTGTCTGGATCCTCCTGGTATCTCTCTCTCTCGCAGGAGATAAGCAACTTTGTGAGCAGCACGAGCATGCCCAGGAGTTCCTCCACATCCACAATAGGCCCCTCCAAGGCTCATTAGCAGGACACCAGCTGCAGAGATCCTGATGGGATTAGCTCCTTCACCAGTCCTAAAAAAGAAACCGTGCACAAACAGCACTTATCCTCACGGAGCACCCGCTGCAGCTGACGGGGAACGCAGCCGGGCTCGCTTCAAAGAGGAATTCAGTGTGACAGCAACGAGAGATGATCAAACAGGGGCAGACCCGAGCGGCAGCGCTGTATTGCAGGAACAGACGTCCCCGAAAGCAAGGGGGGGGACGAGGGAGGAGAAGCACCGCAGGCAGGAGGGTATTTACTGCCGCGAGGTTTCTGTTTAGTCACGGCGAGCGCGGCCGCCCCGCTCCGCTCCCGGCTTTGGGAAAGCCGGGATCTGCCACCTGCTTCTTCC